GGAGCGGGAGCTGCGCCGGCAGGATGCCAAGGGTTAGGGATTCTTCCGCGTTGGGGCCAGTGAGCTGGAGATTCCAGGAGAGCAGGGAGGAGGGTCACGGGCCTGGGCGCAGAGGCCAACAGCATTCTGGCTCCCTCTGGCCTCCTAGGGGAGCTCCTTCACACGCCTCTGAGCTTGTGAAATCACCCCTCTGCCCCTCCCTCGCTTCTCTTGCCTCCCTCCTGCCCTTTTTTGTTTGTTTTTGTTTTTGAAACGGGGATTGAACTCAGGGACACTCGACCACTGAACCACATCCCCAGCCCTGTTCTGTATTTTATTTAGAGACAGGTCTCACCTAGTTGCTTAGTGCCTCACTTTTGCTGAGGCTGGCTTTGAACTCTAGATCCTCCTGCCTCAGCCTTCCCAGCTGCTAGGATTACAGGGGTGAGCCACCACGCCAGCCCCTCACAGCCTCTTGCAGAGCCACATTCCAGCGTCTGGCAAGGTCCCCTTCCTTTTCATTTGTCCTTCCTGATGAAACCCAGGAACACCCTCTCCTCCCCTGTTTTCAGGCCTCCGCTCCCCTCCACTCTTCTTTTTGCCTACTCTCCACAGATGGGAAGGGGACAGTAGAGAGGGAGACAGGGCCCACAGACCTGGGCAGCTTGTCCCTGCCTTTGTCTGCCTGGGTTCCACTGACTTCCAGGGAGAGAGGAGGAGAAACCATCCAGTCTCTTTTGCACCTTGTCTTAAGCCCTCTGGGGAGTCTAAAATCTAGAAATGCTTGCAGAGCAGTGGTAGATGGGAGTTAAACCTGGGCAGGGAAAGGTGTTGCCTTCCCCAGGGACACTGTGCAGCGAGCAGGGAAGGTTCAGGTGAGCACCTGGCGCCAGGCAGGGTGTACTCTGGTCTGTGAACTCAGAAACTGAGTAAAGCACCCAAGGCCTGCATCCCCACAGCCCTTTAACAGGAAAGGCAGAGCAGGCAGGCTTCAGGTGGTTCTGATAAGGGGTACCTGAAGGGAGAAGAAAATGGGTCAGAAAGTAGAAGTCACAGGACACACCCCAAGAAAGAGTTCTTTTAAATAGAAGACTACTGGGAACATGGAAATGGGTTTACAGTTCACTGTGTGGTAAGAGAGGTGGGAGACAAAGGCTTAACAGGAATGTGGTAGGAAGCCCTGTCCCTAAAAGAGTCCTCAGAAAGGCACAGCATGTGGGGTCAGAGCGCAGGGGTCCAGAGAGGGCATGTCTAGCCTCCCTGAGGCCCCAGGCAGGCCCGATTCCCAGGGAACTGCACCACTTGGCCAGTGTCCCCATCAGGAAAGTATGAGGAAACGGGAGAATTTAGGAGCTCCTCCATCCCTGGTTTTTCTTTGAAACCGAGACCCTGGCACAGGGTAGATGCTTGGAAGGTGTCTGTTGAGTAAAAATGGGATTTCATGTATGAGCTTGCTTTATAGCTTTCCAAAAACGGCTATTGTGCAAGGTTGGGCAATTGTAAGAGGGGAAAAAAAAAAAAAAAAAACCTTATAAAACTCATGATTCAGAGCATGTTTATAGGATCAGCTTCATCTCAGAAGCAAGATTGCTCTTTCCTGTGGTGGGGAGGAAATGGGCTGGTGTGGAAGTGCAATGTGGAGGAATTAAAGTGGCTTGCCATCTCTTGTTGCCAGGTCTATTTGAGGTCCGAGCCCAAGAGTATCTAGAGACACTCCCCAGCGGAGAGCACAGCGGTGTCAATAAGTTCCTGAAAGGACTGGGTAAGCCTGGGTCTCATCCCTGGAGCCAGAGCCTGTTCCTGAATAATCCAGAGCTCCACCACCCCCACCTGGAGGGCAAAATGGTCATTTTAACCTCCTATCCTAATCTGCCCCCAAAGTGGAGACCAAGGAAGCAAATCCCTCCTTTATTGCCCCCCACCCCTGGCTGTCTTGCTCTTCTTTCACTATTGTCGCCTTCACTCCTAGTCTTCTGGGGACAGAGCACTGTAGGAGGCAGCAGAGCAGCCTCCAGATGCCCCTGAAGTGGACAGGTAGGCAGCGGCAGGACTGCAGTTCCCCCGGCTCGGAGGCCCTTGCTGGGAAAGGGAGAATGAGGAGGAAGAGAACAAAGGCTTTGAAGAGGGAGGTCCCAGGAGGCAGCCCCCAAGAGGGGCCCAGTACCTCCAGCTGCTGGAGTGTCCCTGGGTGGCTCCTGGGAAGTGTGCCACTCCGGGCTTTGTCATAACCACACCAGACACCAGCACCCTCTACAGCTTGGAGGGTCTTCCTTTCAGAACCCCAAGTGTTAGACTCCTGCCATCAGAGCAGCAGCAGATACCTGAGAAGCCAGAGGGGCAACTCTGAAAAAGGGGAACCCCCACCTCTCCAGAGCAAGGGGAGGCTCGGATAGCACCATATCTGGGGTGATATCATTTTCCCCCTTTTTTGCTGCACAGGGAATTGAACCTGGTGCTTTATCACTTACCTACCCACCCTTTTTGTTTGTTTGTTTTTGTTTTTGTTTTTTAGTTGGAGATGGACACAATACCTTTATTTTATTTATTTATTTTATGTAGTGCTGAGAATCCAACTCAGTGCCTCTCCCGTGCTAGGCAAGCCACAACTCCAGCCCCCCCACCCCTTTTCATTTTTTGAGACAAGGTCTTACTTAATTACTAACCATGTCACTAAATTGCCTGGGCTGGCCTTGAACCTGTGATTTTGCTGTCTCAGATTCCCAGGTCTCTGGGATTTCAGACCTGTGCCGCCTAGCCCATACCTGGGGTGAAGAGGGGCAACGTGTAACTCACCTTTCTTTGTCCACCTGATGAATGTTCTCATTTTCTTTTTTAGGCAATAAAATGAAGTTTCTCCACAAGAAATAATCAACTCAACCTCAAGGGAAACGTCCTCCCAGTATGACCACCAGTTTTAAACACAGTTCCTGGTGGCCTTTCTGAAAGGTGTCCCCAGGTTGTCCCAGCACAGAATCCAGGGCAAGTGCAGCCACCAGCTGTCCGAGGCACTGCTCCTTCAGAACTGCCCTACAAGGGAGCCACCCACATGCAAACACACTTGGTGGTTGGTTTTTGGATTTGGGCTTTTTAATCTCAATATTAAAAAAAAAGAAAGAAAGAAAAGTGTTCAGGTTTCCTTTTTATTATGCCAGGGCTAAGAAAACTCTCTGCCCTACTTTATTTCCCCCTGGGTCCGGAGGAGGGGAGGAGATGGGAAGGAGCGGCTACTGAGGATCGGGTGTGCCCGGGAACAGGTGGGGGCTGCAAGGGGAGGACAGAGTGAGGACTGGTGACCCCTGCAGACAGGCGCACCCTGCAGACAGATGTCCCCGGGTGCAGAATCTGCCCTTTCTTGGGTGGAATGGAGTCCAGGCAGAAGGAGTGGCTCTTCCCTGCTGGTCAGTGATGCCACCTGGTGGCTGAGGCCACAGACCTCTGTCTTCCCAAAAGGACTTGACTCTTAACTGCCTTTTTTCTCTTAGAAGCCATAGAACCACCCACATTCATGCAGCCCATGACTTTTAGTGATACACAAAAAGAGGAAATCTTGTAAACTGTTAATAAAATGTTGTTGGGGTCCTAAAATTTATGCTATAAGGCTGGGAGGTAGTTCAGTGGCATAGTGTTTGCCTCACATATGTGAAGCCCTGGGTTCAATCCCCAGTTCCAAAAAAGAAGAAAAGACCCCAAGTAAAGTTTATGATTCTGTGTGGATCCCAGGCCACTAAGCTGGGACCCATCTCAGGCTAAATGACAGTACCATGCAGGATAAATGGGAGGGGCTTTTGTCATTGATGTTGTAAACAAGAGCCAGGAGCAAGGTGGTGGGGATGGCTTCCTTAGACTTACACAGCCAGAGATTTTTGTGTCCTGTGGACCAGAAGAGGCAGGGTCCAGGAGGAGCCACAGTCTGAGAGCTGTCCTGTGGGGGGCAGCAGGGAAGTAGCCCCATGTACAGCACACGCAGATTCTCACAGTGGTCCTTAGGGCCAGCCACCACCCCTGCATACCCTATTGCTTGGTCCCCTGTGGATGCCAGGAAAATGAGGAAGAGTTGTTGACACCCATTCTGCATTAGATGTTCTTACTTCAACTGGAGTCAGGGCCATACCACTCCACACTTGAAGCCCAGGTGGTGCCACTATTTGTGTTTTCAAGGGAGAGGACCTGTGGTTACATCAGATTCCCAAAGACTTCCCCAAAATGGTAGGGACCAGGCTCTACATAAAAATTAACCCAAGTAGGTGGGGAAGCTGGAATAATAAGATCTGAGTGTAGGAATTTGTATCTAGCAAGCTCCTCAGATTTGTTAACTTTATTAATAGCAAAATTCTGTGTATTTTTATATTGCTCAGAAATTATCTCTTAACATTTTGGAATATACTTTCTTCTCTAACTTATTTTCTATTATTTGTTTACCTAAGACCTTCAGTGAATAAACATACATCTTTATCAACATTCCTAATGATTTGTAATACTCTATTTTATGGATATACTAAAAGCAGTCTCTCCAATCCTTTACTGTTTTTTGTTTTGTTTTGTTTTTGTTGTTGTTGTTGTTGCTGTTTGTTTGTTTCTTTTGTTTTTCAGTGCTGAGGATTATTCTAGGGTCTTGCATATGCTAGGCAAATGTTCTACCACTAAGCTACTTCCCCAGCTCTTTTTTATTTATTTTATTAATTTTATTTTATTTCAGTACCGGGGATTGAAAGCAGGGGCACTCTACCACTGAGCCAGAGAGCTACATCTTGAGCCCTTTTTATTTTTATTCTGAGATAAGGTCTCACTAAGTTACCCAGGCTTAGCCAGGAGCAGTGGCACAGGCCTGTAATCCCAAGGACTCTGGAGCCTGAGGCAGAAGGATGCCAAGTTTGAGGCCAGCATCAGCAACTTAACCCTGAATCAAAATAAAAAATAAAAAGGGCTGGGAATGTAGCTCAGTGATAAAGCATCACTGAGTTCAATCCTCAGTTTAAAAAAAAAAACTAAGTTGCACAGGCTGGCCTCAAACTTTCCATCTTCCTGCCTCAGCCTCCCAAGTTGCTGGCATTACAGGTGAGCATTTTTGTTGTTCTTTTTAGATATATGACAGTATATCTAAATATATATGATATATATGACAATAGAGTATATTTTGACATACACAGAGATAATCGTTCTAATTAGGTTGTACATGATGTGGAGTTTCACTGGTCTTGAATTCATATATGAACAGTGGAAAGTTATGTCTGACTCATTCTACTGTCTTCTATTCCCATCCCCACCTCAGATACCTTGTTTTTTAATGTCAAGTGCTGCCTAGGAGACCACACTAATAAACCTAAGGTTGCTTGGTGAGGATGAAGTCAAAACAAAGGGGGTTGGAGAGCTGAGGGACACTCCTCCAGGAAGCCTGACCAACCTCCCTGTGTGACTGGACAGTGCATTCTCCTGTCCACCAGGTCTCTGTCTGTTCCGCCTGGCAGTGCTGGACAATCCTGCTAAGTCCTTGAGCTTTAGCATTCTCCACCCAATCTCTTAAATTTTATTGGGGTGAAAGTAACATAACATAAAAATTAACCATTTTAAGGTGAGCAGTTCAGTGGCATTTACTGCATTCTCAGTGGGCTGTCACAACCTCTCTCATGTTCCAGAATGTTTTCTTTACCCCAAATGGAACTCACCCTGCTCAGAGCTCAGCAGACTTGAGTGGACGGGAGGGGCTGATCCACAGAGGAGGAACTCTGGCCCGAGCAAAGATTAGAGAGGCAAAAGGCAAGTGAGCAGGGCCATTACTGCAGGCACCTGTCAAAGCCAATTAGCTATACTCTGTGGCTTGGCTGGCAACCACACCTTGGCCTCACCCAGCCGCTGAGTGGGGTTCAGCTGCCAACTTCTAACTTCTTTCTGGCTACAATTAACAAAGACCTGGTGCCAGCTTCCTCAGCAACAGACCAAAGGGCAGTCTCGGCTTTGACAGCCCCAGGCTCCCTGCCTGCCCGGGTGTTACTCTCCTCTTCCTTCACCCAGCATAATCCCAGGAGAGCTGACAGTTAAGTCCTGCAACCAAACCTCTCAGTGGGCTGAGCCTCCCCCTGCACAGCTAATCCCTGTGTCCCACCGCCATTGTGGGCGGAAAGTGGACTGAGTTGTTTTTCTGGAGCCACTGAGACCCACCCGCACTCCCTGGCCAGCCTATGGACAGATAGGAAAAGGCTTATGCAATGGGGCTTTAGAGAGCAGGACAGGACAAGCCACCCTTCAGGACTCCAGCAGAGCAGCAGGCTGGAGCTGCTTCCCATCTGGCTCCTAACGCTTCCCTTCAACCTCTGGGGCAAGGCTGTTCTCCCCTCCCTGCCGCACTTTGGCTTAGGGGAAAGCTCTGGGTGGAAGTACCCCTACCCCTAGGCCCAGCACCCTGTACCCAAGTTGGGATCAGCTGTGTCAGGGTGACACTGTGAGGTGATTACTCTTCCCTTCAGCATGCAGTCCCTTGGCCCATGTCCTGGGTTCTGGCCAGCCAGATACCCCTTATGGCTGGTAAAGTCTGTGCTTTAGGGGTGAAGCCTCAAGATGGCCCATATCTCTAGCTACCTCTGAGGGAGAAAGTGAAGGAAGGGTCTGCCACACCAAGTAAGAGCCTGGCTATCCTGCTCTTACAAGCCACAGTAAAATTAAAACAGGCCTGGCCACAGGGTTCGATCCTCAGCACCACATACAAACAAAGATGTTGTGTCTGCCAAAAAAATAAAAAATAAATATTAAAATTCTCTCTCTCTCTCTCTCTCTCTCTCTCTCTCTCTCTCTCTCTCTCTCTCTCTCTCCCTTTAAAAAAAAAAAAACTGAGGCCTGGGGCTGTGGCTCAGGGACAGAGCGCTTGCCTCGCATATGTGAGGCACTGGGTTCCATCCTTAGCACCACATAAAAATAAATAAAGATATTGTGCCTATGTATTACAAAAAATATTTTTAAAAAATTAAGACTAAGCCAGGCATGATGGAGCATGCCTATAAACATAGCCACTCAGGAGACTGAGGCAGGAGGATTGCAAGTTTAAAGCCAGACTCAGCAATTTAGTGAGGCTCTAAGCAACTTGGCAAGACCCTGTCTCAAAAAATTTAAAAAAGGGGGCTAGGGTCATGGCTCAGTGGTAGATCACTTGCCTGGCATGTGTGAGGCACTGGGTTCGATCTTCAGCACCACAAATATATATAAATAAAATAGAGGTCCAACAACAATTTAAAAAATAATAAGGACTGGGGATATACTTCAGTGGTAGAGCACCCCTGAGTTCAATTCTCAGTACAAAAGAAAAAAAAGGTGGAAACATTAAACTTTATGTCATGGATATGTTACCACACACCCACACAAAATGCTCCACAATAATAGTGCAAAGGCCCTTCTATTGCGATGAGTTGCATGAACTTACCATGAATGCAGTTATGTGAACCTTGGGCATGTATTACCCCACCTGCGCAGTTCTATAGGACAAAGGCCAGCTGCTTCCTCTGTGCAGGCTTTTCCTTCCATTCCACGCTATCTGTCCTAAGAGTACCTCCTAATAAATCTACATGCTAAACTTAAACGTTTCTCTCTTAAAACTTAGCTCTGTGGGGCTGGGAATGTAGCTCAGTAGTAGAGTGCCTGCCTCTCTACATGCATGAGGCCCTGGGTTCAATCCCCAGCAATGCAAAAAAAATAATAAAATAAAAACTTTAATTTTCTTCCTATTCCAGGACTGGTCTAGGGAACTGAAGGAATTCTTTAACCCCTCCTCTGAGGTTTGGGAATGATAAGTAGAACCTCAAGACAAAGTGCTTCCTACCGGGCCCTCTGCTCCATTGAATTTTGCTAAAACTTGGTCTCTGTCCCCTCCTTTCCCTGCTGTCAGGCCGTTCAGGTCAGCCCCTCCCTTGCCCCACCCAGACCCAGAACTCCATCTTCCCTTCCCACAAGGCCTCTCAGATAAGCTGCCGTGGAGAAACTGGCTGTGGTGATAACAGTTCATGGTCCTGTCACCTGCTCTTGAGCTGTAACCCCCAAAGCAGGCTGGAGAGGTCCCTGAGTTGAAGCTCTTACCAAACCCAGGACCTGAAGAAGTTCATCTCACGGAACAACCAATGGCCCAGAGATGAGTGTTGGGGAGACGGAAAGGCTTTCTTCAGCGGCCAGAGAATGGAGAAGAGGGAGCTTTGCTCACAAATGGAGGGGTTGCAGATATAGAATACATAGGTGCGATCAGGGAGGGAGGGACGCTGACAGAGGGGAGGAATGTTCATGTCTTTTCTCAGAATAGGTGGAGAACACAAGTGCCACCTGTTTTCACTATTTGGGGGTCTGGTGTTCTGACATGTGGCTGGTAGGTCTCTTTAGCCTTAAAGGTGGGGCAAGTCTAGGTCAAGTTAACCCTGTACTGCAGTTCTGGACAAGACATGTCTCAGCTGACCAGCAGGTCCACATGCAAAACAGTAGGATCTGACCCAGGGTTAAGGTATCAAAGGACACAGACACAATAAATAGGAAGGCAGAGATGCCAAGCATTTTCATCCCATTTCAGTCACCCACAGGGACATCCGCAGGCCCAAGTGAAGAGTCACTGTTTTTAGCAAAAACAGCCTTCCTGTCCCTGAAGAGTAACCTAGGCAACTATAAATGTCACACCGCCCAGGTCAGAGATGTGATCTACAGCAAAGCAAGTGGGCTTTGTGACTTTTAAGTCAACTAAGAGGAAATGGGTTTGGGGCTCTAGCCCAGTGGCAGAGTGCTTGCTGAGTAAGTGAAATTGTATTTAGGTTTTTCCCCCCAATAATAGGGTATGTCCTGAATATTATCCTCTGATTTATCATCCCCTCCTGATTCTCCTCCTAACCCCAAGTAGGTCCCCAAACACTAGAACCTTCCTTTTCAGTTTATACTGCATATGGAAAATACTGATTATTCCTAATTAAGCCCCTGCTCTTGACCTCCAGGGCATTGCCCAGCTTGAACTCATACCAAAGAGATCCTTTTTTTTTTTTTTTTTTCCTGGTGCTGGGGATTAAACCCAGAGCCTCACACTTACTAGGCAGATGCTCTACCACTGAGCCACACCCAGATGAGATGAGAAAGCAATCATTTTAGAGTGATGAGAAGTTTTAGAATTCTAAAGCAGTAATGGATGCAAAACAATTTGTGGCCCTGCTAAAAATCAACCAATTTTACTGGGCTGGGGATGTGGCTCAAGCGGTTGTGTCCGCCAAAAACTAAAAGATAAAATATTTTTTAAAAAATCAACCAATTTTACACTTTAAAAGGGTCATTGCACTGGGGTGTAGCTCAATGATAGAGCATTTGTGCCAAATGTCTTCTTTGATATAAGGAGAGTAACTAAGAACAGAGTAGGGACGAAGAGCATGAGAAGAAGATTAACATTAAACAGGGATGAGAGGTGGGAGGGAAAGGGAGAGAGAAGGGAAATTGCATGGAAATGGAAGGAGACCCTCAGGGTTATACAGTGGAGGGGGGAGAGAGAGAGGAGGGGAGGGGAGGGGAGAGGAGGGGAGGGGGGATGGTGGAGGATGGGAAAGGCAGCGGAGCACAACAGACACTAGTATGGCAATATGTAAATCAACGGATGTGTAACTGATGTGATTCTGCAATCTGTGTATGGGGTGAAGGTGGGAGTTCATAACCCACTTGAATCAAAGTGTGGAATATGATATGTCAAGAAATTTGTAATGTTTTGAACAACCAACAATAAAAAATTAAAAAAAAAAATGATAGAGCATTTGCCTAGATGCATGAGGCCCTGGTTTCCATCCCCAGCACCCTTCCCACCAAAACACACACACTTGAACTTTGCAGCTAGTGATGTAGTTCAACACTAAAGTCCTCACTGGCATGCATGAAGCCCTGGATTTGATCCCCAGCACTGCAAAATATATAAATGAGTGAACTTTATGGCATGTGAATTGTATCTTCGTTAAAAATAAAAGTCAGGACTGGGGCTGGGGCTCAGTAGCAGAGCACTTCTCTAGCCTGGGTGAGGCACTGTGTTTGATGCTTAGCACTGCATACAAAAATAAATAAAAGCATGCTCTCCATCTACAACTACAAAAATAACAATAATAATAAAATAATAAATAAAAGACACATATTGTCCAGGTGGCACACACCTGTAGTCCCAGGTACTCAGGAGGCCTAGGAATTTGAGGCCAGCCTGGGCAACATAGCAACACCCCTTCACAAAATAAATAAGCAAAAGATGATAGCAGCTTTGGACGGATAAACAAGGAGAAGTAAATAAACCTCGGTATATGAGATAAGCTAGGCTGGTAACTGCCCAGTTGCAGGATCAAACCCTTTGCAGGAGACTTGGGTGGTGCCCACACCCCAACACACTGAAACTGGTGGGGATGGCCCATGCCTCAGCTAGCAACTGAATTGGGACAATGTAAGTGTATTTTTACTGGGGACAACTGGCTGCATCCTTCCAAAAGACCCTGCACTCCCTCCCCCGGGTTTCTTCATGCTTTGTACTCAAATCCCAGCAGCATCTCCCTGATTAATCCTCTTTGTCCAGATACACAGAGCTGGCTGCTTCCATTACATTAAAAAAAAAAAATTTTTTTTTTTTTTAGTCGTTAATGGACCTTTATTCATATGTGGTGCTCAGAATCAAACCCAGTCCCTCACACACGCTAGGCAAGCGCTCTCCCACTGAGTCAGAGCCCCAGCCCCATTACATTTTTTGAGTGTATGTGCCAGGGATTGAACCCAGGGGCGCTTAATTACCGAGCCACATCCCCAGCCCTATTTTATATTTTATTTAGACACAGGGTCTCACTCAAGTACTTAGGGCCTTGCTAAATTAATGAGGCTGGCTTTGAACTCATGATCCTCCTGCCTCAGCCTCCCAAGTGCTGGGATTACAGATGTGCACCACTGTGCCCGCTCACTTCCATTAGATTTTGCTGCAAATCAACTTTGCTTCCAGCCTGCGGAACTGGAACCAGCTCAAACAATTGGTCTTGACCACGCCATCCTCTCATCCACAAGATCCCATCTACAAGTGCCTCACCTCCCTGAACTGGGAGTCACTGCCAGGCTCCTGACAGGGCACATGCACTCTACAAAGGAGATCAGAATAGCACTGCAGCCTCCTGCCTCTAGAGAGTGATTGACAGCCCGGCCCCCTGGCGCATGCCTGTGACCCCAGAGGCTCTGGAGGCTGAGGCAGATGTATGGAGAGTGGAAAGCCAGCCTCAGCAAAAGCGAGGTACTAAGCAACTCAGTGAGCCCCTGTCTCTAAATAAAATACAAAAAAGGGCTGGGGATGCGTCTCAGTGGTCGAGTGCCCCTGCATGCAATCCCTGGTGCCCCAAAAAAGAGTGATCCACAAGCCGGAGCAGTTTTGTCACTTTTTCCCAATTCAAACCCATAGTGGCCTCTGTGTGGCTGGGGAAGAGCCCCTCAGATGCTTTTGCACTGTTGTGGAAAGTGGAGGACAGGACTTGAGACAAAAGAGAGAGGCTCCCACTGCCCTGGAAGACCTGCAGAGCCAAGGATAGGGAGGACAGTGACACTGGAGGTGGGAGCCTGGCCATCTGTGCAGGCAAATGTCTTGAGGGCGGTTCTGGGGATGAAGCCAGTGGCACTCTACTGCTGAGTTACAGCCCCAGCCCTCTTTAATTTTTTTTTTTTTTTTGAGACAGGATTCCCCTAAATTGCCCAGGCTGGCCTCAAACTTGTGATCCTCCCTTCTCAGCCTCTAGAGTTGCTGAGATTATAAGTGTGCACCACTATGACCAATTCCTTTTCAAATATTAAAAAAACTGGTTTGTTCTGAAGATTTTTCAAATTTTCCCTGATCCAAATGTCATTTGCGCTTGATGTGGTTCAATCTCAAGTACCATGGAGACACACACAAACACAGCATTAGCTGGGCATGATCATGCACAACTGTAATCCCAGTGACTAGGGAGACTGAGCAGGAGGATTGCAAATTGGAAGCCAGCCAAGGCAGTTTTGTGAGCGCTCATCTCAAAAAAATAAATAAATAAAAGTTAGAAGAGTGAAAAGAGCATTCACAGTGGTGCATTCCTACAGTCCCAACTACTCAGCGGCCAAGGCAGGAGGATTTGCAAGTTCAAGGCCAGCCTCAGCAATTCAGTGAGACCTGTCTAAAAATAAAATTTTTAAAAATAAGGAAAAAATTTAAAAGCCTTAAAGGATTGGGGATGTGGCTCAGTGGCAGGGCACCTGCCTTGCAGCATGTGCAGGGACTTGGGTTTGTTCTGAGTACCACAACACACACACACACACACACACACACACACACACAATGTATCACCATTTCAAACCTACCAGATGATCAAAAATTGTTCGATTTTTAATTGAGATATTATTTACCTCACATACTATAAAATTTACTCTTTTTTTATCTTTTTTTTTTTTAGTTTTTAGTTTTTTAGATGTTGTTAGACCTTTATTTATAGGTAGTGCTGAGAATCGAACCCAGTGCCTCACACATACCAGGCAAGTGCACTACCGCTGAGCCCCAGGTCCAGCCCCCAAATTTACTCTTTTAAGATATACAATTTGGGGCTGGGCTTGGGGCTCAGTGGCAGAGTGCTGGCCTAGCATGCATGAGGCACTGGGTTCGATCCTTAGCACCACATAAAAATAAATAAAATAAAGGCATTCTGTCCATCTATAATTACAAACAAAATTTTTTTACAAAGATATACAATTTGGTGGGCTTTATTACAATCACAAAGTTGTACAACTGTTGACATTATTTAATTCTAGACCATTTCATTACTCCCAAAAGATTTCATCTCCTTTTCACTGATGTGACCCACAGCATGGCTGACCCACAGCAGGGAGGAACAGGAGCTTGGGGACACGGGGTGCTTTCTGGATGGGCACTCAGTTTGAAATGTGACAATGGGGAGCCACAGGAGATGATGGGAGTGAAATAGAATAGCCATCGGGAAAAACTGACATATCCAAGTGACAGTCACCAAGCATACACCCCGTGACCCAGAAATTCCACTCTTAAGAATATATGCAAGTGCATACTTATGTGCTCAAAATTGAAAAATTTCTCACAGGCATAGTCACAGCAGCATTATTTGCAATAGCCCCAAACCAAGAGTAATGGAATAAACAACATGAAGTGTATAAGTAAAAGAATTATAAGCAGAAGTGGTGTGACCACAACGGAAAGCTGTCCAACACGAGAATAAACTAGCTGCGCGTACCAATGCAGATCCATCTAGAAACAGGATATTACACCAAAGAAGCCAGAAACAGAGGCTAGATATAATTATGATTTCATTTAAATATTTTCTTTATTTTATTTTTATATGGTGCTACAGATCGAATCCAGCGCCTTACACATGCTAGCCAACCTCTGAGCCCCAACCCCAACCCATAACTTCATTATTTCTAATGGCTGAGTAGAACTCTATGTGCATGTGTGTATAAGTGTATAAGTGTGTGTGTGTGTGTGTATATTATACATATGTGTATGTATCACAAATGTGAGATATATATGTGAGATATATATATATGTGAGATATATATATATGTGAGATATATATATATATATCACAAATTGTTAATCCATTCATCAATTTACAGGCGTCTGGGTTGGTTCCATAATTTAGCTGTTGTGAATTTTGCTGTTATAAACAATGATGTGGCTGTGTTGCTGTAGTATGCTGATTTTAGATTTTTTTGGAAAATACCCAGGAGGGGGACAGCAGGGTCATATGAAGGTTCCATCCCTAGTTTTTTGAGGAATCTTCATACTGCTTCCCAGAGTAGTTGAACTAGCCTGCAGTGCCACCAACAATATGTAAGTGTTCCTTTCTCCTCACAACCTCACCAGCATTTATTGTCGTTTGTTTTTTTATTTTTTTATTTTTTATTTTTGGTACCAAGGATTGAATTCAGGGGCACTTGACCACTGAGACACACCCCCAGCCCTATTTTGTGTTTTATTTATAGACAGAATCTTACTGAGTTGTTTGGCACCTCACTTTTTTATTTTATTTTTTTTTTGTGCGGTGCTGGGGATTGAACCCAGGGTCTTGTGCATGCTAGGCAAGGCACCTCACTTTTGCTGAGGCTGGCTTTGAAGACACAATCCTCCTGTCTCAGCCTCCAGAGCCATGGGGATTACAGGCGTGCGCCACCGCACTCGGCATCTGTCTAGTTCTTTTGCCCATTCATTGATTGTTTTTTTTTTTTTTTTTTAATTTTTGTTGCTAAGTTTTTTGAGTTCTTTGTATATTCTGGATAATAATCCCCTATTGGCAGAGTAGCTGGCCAACTTTTTCCTATTCTGTATGCTCTCTCTTCATGCTCTTGTGTCCTTAGTTGTGCAGAAGCTTTTTAGTTTCATGCCATCCCACTTTTTTTTTTTCCCAAATTGTTTTTTGTAGTTGTGGATGGGCCAGCTGCCTTTATTTTATTTATTTATTTATTTATTTTTAGTTTTAGGTGGACACAATATCTTTATTTTACATTTATGTGGTGCTGAGAATCCAACCCAGTGCCTCACGCATGCTAGGCAAGTGCTCTATCACTGAGCCACAGCCCCAGCCCCGGGGTCCCACTTATTGATTGATGGTTTCATTTCTTGTACTTTGGGGGTCTTATTAAGGAAGTCTGTGCCAACACCTATGTGATAGAGTGTTGACCTTGTGTTTTCTTCCATCAATTATAAGGTTTCTAGTCATTCCTTAGTTTTTGATTCATTTCAATTTGAGTTTTGTGCCGGGTGAAAAGAGTCTAATTTAATTTTTCTATATATAGCTATCCAATTATCCCAGCACTATTTGTTAAAAAGCTGTCCTTCCTCTAAGATATATTTGTAGAACCTTTGTCAAATATCAGACAGCTGGCTATAGGGTTGTGAGTTTGTCTCTGTGACTTCTATTCTGTTCCATTGCTCTTCAGGTCTATTTTGGTGCCATCTTGCTAAATTGCTTAGGGCCTTGCTAAATTCCTGAGGCTGGCCTCCAATTTGTGATTCTCCTGCCTCAGTCTCTTGAGTTGCTGGGTTTCACAGTCATGTGCCACTGCACCTGGCTTAGGGGAAGGAGTATTTTCAGGGGTACACAGGCCAAGGCTTCAGGGATGCGGTAATGTTCTCCTCTTGATGTTAGTGGGAGTTATCGGATGTGTGTTTTTGCAGGAAGGAAAACCTTTCCCTCTACTCTGTTCAGTTCAGTGACTGAGAGCCTCCAAATCAGTTTAACAAAAGACAAATTAAGCCGGCTCAGTGGCACATACCTGTAGTCCCAGTGGCTCCTGAGACAGGGGGATTGCAAGTTCAAAGCCAGCCTCAGCAATGGCAAGGTGCTAAGCAACTCAGTGAGACCCTGTCTCTAAATAAAATAAAAAAGAGGGCTGGGGATGTGGCTCATGATCAAGTGCCTCTGAGTTCAATCCCTGGTACCAAAAAAAAAAAAAAAAAGACAGATTAACCAGAAAAAAAAAAATGTAAGAGTTTTCTGAGAAGTCTAATGTGTATTGATAAAAGAAGTGAAATTCAAGAAAGCATTTTGACATAGGGTCTTTTTAAAATTTTTTTTTTCTTAGGTGTCAATGGACCTTTATTTTTATTTATTTGTATGCGGTGTTGAGAATCAAACCCAGTGCTTCACACATGCTAGGAAAGTGCTCTACCACTGAGCCACAACCCCAGCCCATTGACCTAGGGTCTTATACACTAGTTTAACCAAAGAAAGGAAGTTGGGACTTAAAGACTTGATTAATTGTGAGGAAGTGATTAAGAACATGAGGAAAACTAGTGGAGATCTGAGTTATTTTCATAAGTTTTGTTTATGCAGACTCATCCTGTGGCCCACTCTGTCTCTGGTGATAAGAGTTCTCTCTTCTTTCTGGCAGGAGAGTCGGGGACCTTTCACAAGGAAAAATTCATGCCCTGCTTTAATGGATAAAGAGCTTGGCATGGTGAAACATGCCTGTAATCCCAGCAGCTCGGAAGACTGAGACGGGAGAATCACAAGTTCAAAGCCAGCCTCGGCAACTTAGCAACTTATTGAGACCCTGTCTCAAAATAAAAAATAAAAAGAGCTGGGGATGTGGCTCAGGGGTAACTCACCCCGAGGTTCAATCCCAAGTATATAAAAAAAGAAAAAGAAAAAAGAGTGTTGTAAGAAGAGGGAGGGAGGGGACAACGAAGTAGCTATTGCCCCTTATCCCAAAGCGGCAGACCTTAAAGTCAGGGTGCCCCTCAGCTTAATGTCTTTTTTGGTGTGTTCAATTTGGGGGATTGAAACCAGGGGCTCATGCAAGTAGCTCGACTAGGGAGCCACCTCCCCAGCCCTCAATGGCTGTTTATAGCCTCTGGGCCCCTGATTTGGAAGCTGACTACAGTGTGGTGAGCTGCTGAATCTGTCTTCCTGATAGGCAGCTGCGCTTCTCCTGCAACTCTGGCTTATTCAGGCTTCAACACAGACCAGGCCCTGCGCCATGTGCGCCTTATCTGTGGCAAACACTCTGTAAAGCCATTTTCTTTCGTATGTGTATGTACATACATGTGTATATGTTTAAGGTACTGAAATATGCATAACTACATTTACCATGTCAACTATGTTTAAAGGTCCAGGACGATAGTCATGCATTCATATTAGGCAGTTAGCCTAATAGTCACCCTCCATCAAGGCACAGCGCTAGCCAAGCATGGCAGCACACACCTGTCATCCCAGTGGTTCAGGAGGCTGAGGCAGGAGGATCACAAATTGGAGGTCAGGGGCTGGGGTATAGCTCAGTTGGTAGAGTGCTGGCCTCACATGCACAAGGTCCTGGGTTCAATCCCCAGCATCACAAAATAAAACAAAAAACAAACAAACAACAACAAATTGGAGGTCAGCTTGGCAAGTTAGCTAGACCCTGTCTCAAAATAAAAAATAAAAAGGACTGGGGATGTAGTTCACACACCTGAATCCCACCACCCAACTCCTAAGGCAAATAGTCACTGAAATTCCACTCAACATGACAAAGGAGTCCCTCCTGGCCTCACAGAATGGCCTGTCCTGTGGGGAAGAGGATGTCAACACTATATGATGTGTTTGAAGGTGGTCATAACCCACAGTGCTCTGGAGCCCACAGGGAGCCTGAAACCCAGAGCAAGTGAATGGACCATTTTACTACACACCACAGTGTGTGTGAGTGTGAGTGTGTGTGAGACTGGGTCTTGAACCCAGGGAAGGTCCACCGCTAAGTTACATCCCCAGCCTTTTTTATTTGTTTTGAGACGGGTGTTACCGCGTTGCCCAGGCTAGGCTCCACCTTCCGGGGTTGCTGTGATCAAATACCTAACAAGAACAACTTGAGAACCGGCAAGGTGGTGCGTACCTGTGATCCCAACAACTCAGGAGGCTGAGGCAAGAGGATCTTAGGTTCAAAGCCAGCCTCAGCAGCTCAACAAGACTGTCTCAAAATCAAATATCAAAAAGGGCTAGGGCCAGGAGCAGTGGCACATGCCTGTAATCCCACTGGCCTAGGAGGCTGAGGCAGGAGGATCACGAGTTCAAAGCCAGCCTTAGCAAGGCGAGGCCCTAAGCAACTCAGTGAGACCCTGTCTCTAAATAAAATGCAAAACAGGGCTGGGGACGTGGCTCAGTGGTAAGCAAAGCAGTAGATGGAAGTGAAGGCCTAGGGGTAGACATGAGAGAGGGCATCTAGGGCAAAAACTAGGAAGAGACCACTGAGAAGAGGCGTGGAAAAACTGGAGGCCATGTGAGCCACATGAGGGGTTGCTCAGAGCCATAGCCAAGTAGGAATGACCCATGGCATTTTGGGTTGAAAGGTGACCCTGCTCAGGGATTAGGGCGGCTCCAGGTTTAGGGTGGATCCTGCTGGGAATAGGGTGTATCCTGCTGCCTCAGGCCCCCACTCCTTTGGAGTTCCCATTGAGTTCTCCCGGGGGTCTGAGAGAATTGGTGCATGGAGCCTGGTGGAGGGAGTGTATTCCCAGGAGTGTGTGTAGAGTCGGTGAGAGTTGGAATAAAGAGTTGCTGTTTGAATCTACAAGGCTTTGTGGTGGCTTGGTTATTTTGTGCCCAGCCAGACTGTGGCAAGGGGTTCATTTCATTTTATTTTTATTTTTTGGCACTGGGGATTAAACCGCAGGGTGCTTAACCCCTGGGCCACATCCCCAGTCTTTTTTATTTTATTTATTTATTTATTTTTGAGACAGAGGCTCATTAAGTTGCTTAGGACCTCGATAGTTGCTGAAGCTGGTCTCCAACTTGTGATTCTCCTGCCTCAGCCTCCTGAGTGGCTGGGATTACAGGTGAGTGCCACTGTGCCTGGCCCTACCTGTGGATTTTAAAGATACCCAGGTTTACATCTGATACGGATTGGTGTGGAGACGGTGGCCATTGCCAAAGGTGCTGATAACGGCCAGAGCCTATTTACTAGACTCAGTCAACAGGGCTGATTTTGTTGTAGGGACGAACAAGGCAAGGCACTGAAGACGGCAGGAAATAGTTTTATTTGGCTGCAGCCAGGTTCAGAGGGCACAGCTTTTGCTGTAATCAATCAATCCCCTGAACCCAAGTTCAGGGAGTTTCAGAGTTTTATACCCAGTGTGTAAGGGGAGGGGCTCAGAAGTTCACAGTTATCTTAAAAATGTAGACATCTCTGTGAAGCCCAGCTCAAGGCCAGAGGCCTTGCTTGCACATTTCTTCAAAGTACTACACTGGATACGTTTGTGAAAACTAGTAAGGGGCTGTCCAGCACCTGGAGTGCTGGTATCTTCCCAGCCAGTGGCCAAGTAAACAGGGTGACACGAAAATAGGAAGTTTATCTACATTGGACTCTTTTGCTGACAGTTCTAAAATCAGCCATGGTGAAGAGGGCTTCTCTGTGGAGAAAGGGGTGCCCCTTCAATTTGTTTTCAGAGCAGTTTGTGGGCAGGAACTTTACATAGCCTTGGGCACATCCCGGGAGCGAGGTGGGTGAGCCTGGCAGAGCAGTAGCTCCAGCTCCCTCTTGCACAGCTGGACTGTACTCTGACCAAGCCGTCCCCTGCCCCTAGCCCTCCAGCCGGTCCCCAGGCCTACAGAACCCAGTCCCGTCCCCAGCTGGCTGTACCTTTTCCTTCTAGCCCAGGACTTCCTGCTCCAGGGATATGTGCAGACCTGTCTCCAGCTTCCCTCCTGCACCATCCTGCCAGACAGCTCTGCCTGTCCTGCAGCCAGTGGCAGGGGCGCACACCGCCAGCTCCAACTTACTTAAAACTGACCCCCATAGTGCCTTCACTGCCACCCTCTCTCCCAACCAGGTTAATGTTGCTGCTCCTCCTCCTCCTCCTCCTCCCTCCCCTCCTCTTCCCTCCTCCCCTCCCCTCCCCTTCCCCTCCCCTCCTCCCCTCCCCTCCTCCCCCTCCCCTCCTCCTGCTCCCCCTCCCCTCCTCTTCCCCTCCTCCTCCCCCTCCCCCCCCCCCCCCCCCCCCCTTCCCCTCCCCCCTTCCCTTCCCCTCCCCCCTCCCCTCAGAGAATGCTTCAGGGAAAGTGCCACTGGATGAACTTGAAGGTTGATGAAAAGAGAAGGAACAGCATTCCACAAAAAGGGAACAGCCTGTTTATAGACTCATTTATTGGTTAGAGATGCTTTTGACTCCAAGGAGGTAAAAATCTGACTGTTATTGATTTAAACAAATTGGGATTATTTTTTTTCATGTGACAAGAAGTAAGGAAGTGCTGGGCGTGGTGGCACACACCTGTAATTCCAGAGGCTCTGGAGGCTGAGGAAGATGGATGGAGAGTTCAAAGCCAGCCTCAGCAACTTAGAGAGGCGCTAAGCAACTCAGTGAGACCCTGTCTCTAAATAAAATACAAAAAAAGGGCTGGGGATGTGGCTCAGTGGTCAAGTGCCCCTGAGTTCAATCCCCAGTACCGAAGACAAAAGAAGGAATAAGGAAAGGCATGGTATAATCTCAGCAATTTGAGTGGCCAAGACGAAAGGATTATAAATTCAAGGCCAGCCTCGGCAATTTAGAGAGATCCTGTCTCAAAATAAAATAAAAAGGACTGGGCATGTAGCCCAGGATAGCATGCTTGTCTAGTGTGTTCGAAGCCCTGAATTCAATTCCCAGTACAGCAAGATCAATAAAATAAAAAAGTGTTAATAGAATACCATTCAGCCATAAAAAAAAAACAAAACCATGAAATTGTATAATTTTCAGCAGCACAGCTGAACCTGGAAACATTATGTTAAGTGAAAAAAGCAGGACACAGGAAGACAAACCCCATATTATTTCAGAAGTGCAATCTAAGTCCAGCGCAGTGGCGCACAACTGTAATCCCAGCGGCTCGGAAGGCTGAGGCAGGAAGATCTGGAACTCGAACCCAGCTTCAGCAAAAGCGAGGTGCTAAGCAACTCATGAGACCCTGTCTCTAAATAAAATACAAAATAAGGCTGGGGATGTGGCTCAGTGGCCAAGTACCCTCCAAAAATCCCCAGTACCCTCCAAAAATAAATAAATAAATAGAAGTGGAATCTAAAGGAATCTAAAGAAGCTGCCCTCTGGAGATAGTGTGGAGTCCCTGAGTCCAATCCTCAGAACTACAAAACAAACAAAACCCCCAGGTGTGGTGATACGTGTCTACAATCCCAGTGACTCAGGAGATCGAGGCAAGATGATCCCAAGTTCAAGGCCTTGGCAACTTGGTGAGACCCTGGGCACAAAAGAATTGGATCTCAAAGAAGTTGAGAATACAATGGTGAGCACCGTGCATTGCCTCCCATCCGGGATCTGTCCTCTCTCAGCCCAGCTCCATACATCAGGATGGTTTTCAAAAGCAAGAAGTAGGGACCAAGTAGGAGCCTCTTCCCAGAAGCTTTCTTGGGCCAGAACAGGTCATATGGCCATTTCTTGCTGCAAGGGAGGGCAGAAAAGCTAGCGTTTGACTTCTGCTGTGGTAATAGACAAAGGAAAGAAGAGTGGGACTGGCTTGGAGTGGCCTCATGGCTGGAAGGATGAAAGGCAGAAATATCTAGAAGGGAGATTTGTATAGA